AATTAAGTATATTAAAAATATATTATAAAATATTATAAAAATACCATAAAATATTCACATGGGAATACAAGAAGATTTTTTTGTTTTTCTAAAGAAAAAAATATGAAAAGAAAAATAAATCCTCCAGTGGGAGGCCCGGGACCGGATCTCAGTGGGGCCACCCCCAGCCTGGGGCTCTCGTGCAGCCAGCGCTAGGTCCGCCCTCCGTCCAGTGTGACACGCCCCCTACCTCTGGGATCTTCTCGACCACGCTGCTGTCAAACACGGCTGTGTTAAAGCGGCAACGGCAGTGTCTGGTGGGCCCAGGAGGCGGAGACACTGCCGTCGCCGCTCTATCACAGCCGCATCTCCTTCCATGCTGCCAGGAGGGGGCACGGGGAGGGGGGTGGGTTGTCTGTGACGGGCCCCCTCTTGGGCCCCGTATGGTAAGTCCGCCCCTGTTTGTACTCCTCCTCCATCTTTCCTCTATCACAGCCTCTGCATCCCTTTACATTCCAACTGCATGAATACAAGCTGTTTTAAGCACACCTGATGTGTTATATAGTTTCTTCCTGCCGATGTAACTGACACATTTGCTGGAGAGCTTGGTCTTCAGCATGGTAAATGTGAAGAAAAATATATGAAAGGGCAAGAAAAATTTAAAACAAAGAAATGTCAATACGGAATACTATTAGTACAGGTATTAACCCCATACATTTAGCAGAATACCAAATTATTCCCTATAGTAGTTCTTTAGGGCTAATTCAGACGAATGTAGAGGTCCGTGTACCATAAAAACCATCCAGATCTCTGTGCCTGGAAGCCACAGAAATTTTTACTTGAGTCTGTAACAGTACGTAAGTCTACATTCAGAGCAACATTTACCAGCATATGGCCTGACACAGATTTATACAGGAGGGATGTATATAAATCCTGTGGCTCCCGGGCACAGATATCCACATGGTTTTGACTACAACAGACAATTGTGCCCATATGAGAGCCTTTGATGTTAGTGGGGGTTGGAACAATCACAACTGTAAAAAACATAAAAATGAAAAAACAATCACATACCTGGTAATAGTAGGAGTAGGAATAGGACCCCCAGTAAGCACCACTCGCCAAATATATATATTTGTAAATGTTTTTAGTAGCATCTAACTTACATCATTTTGTAAAATTGGGTATAATAGCTTTAAGAAAACCAAAATGCTCTAAAATCCCTGGGAGCAATGCTCCTTTCAGGTCAGCAAAACAAACACCGAGCAAACATCTTGGCAAAAAAAATGCAGCTTTCTCCCGGATCTATAGACTTTACACAGTTCTTTACTTTTCTGTAAATTTTTTGCTGCCTGCCTGTTATTAGCAGGATAAACTGCTCATAAAACGGGTCCCTGTGCTGTGCCATTCTCAGTGACCTGGCCTTTTGTCTGATTGATCGCTAAGGCGATAACATCATAAGGAATCTGCACCCTAAGGCTAGCACAAACTTATTGGAAATCAGATGTTATTAGCTCCTCCGTGTCCCCGAGCAGTTTCTTCTGGGGAAGTTTTCAGGAATTTTCTTGGCTTAATGTCACTTTTAAAAAATTGCCAATTTCATATGAGATTTCTTTTTTCTTCTGTATACCCTTCAATTGGCAGGCTTGCATTGTTAGTATGTTGTCTGCCCGCTGTGGCTGCCTCAGTTTTGTCATGTATGATTTATCTGGTCTGATGGGGCCAAAGGACACCCCTTGGTGGAGAAGAATGGAACGCAGGAGAGATCTGTGTTCGTTTATAGTTTGTGTTCTAAATGGCATCCTCCTAGAGGTGAACAGCTACTCCCTAGGGAGACTGAGGAAAAAGATGTTTCAGTCTTCTGCAAGAATATGTATATTTGCTGTCAGGGGTGAATATGGAGCTGGCTCATACAGCTGGTGATTGTTCAGACATTGCATTCAGATGGTGTGACATACAAGAGCTCTGCAATTACCTGGAGCAGCATGACTGAAAATGAGGTATCAGCTGACACTGAGTGGCTCTCGGTGTGCAGAGTAAAGTCTATGAAAATGGAGGCTCTACCTGAGGCTGCAGAGTCCGGGTACTCCTTTCTGAGAGCCAATGCTTTAGAAAGCTGGGAAAACTGACGTGCGCCAAGAGCCCCTGTTGTGTTTGCTATGGATTGCATCACAAGTCAATCATAACAAAGAACTCTAACCACCACTGTTTCTGTCCCATCTGCTTTTGGTGTTGTTCTGTAATTTTCTCCCCTTCCCCTCCCCACTGTATGCCAGCAAACTTTCATTGATGGGCATTGCAACACGCACACTCCCTGACTGCACAAGCCCAATCACCCACAAGACCTATTCTCTCTGCGTGAATGACTAGTTTAAGACCTAAAAGATTATAGATCATAAAATCAAATAGATTCCATGCACGTGGACAGAGCATTCTTCTCTGTCTGCTTTCGTATTCCAACAGTCAGCACCCACATGTGGCACTGCTGGGGTTCTGTGTAACACTCCTCATAATAAACTTTGAACTAAAACAAAAATAAAAATGAACCAAATAACATAGAGTAAGATTTTATTTATTAAGGATATTAAAAAGGTAGAACATAAAAAGGAAAAATAAAGGACATCTACACTGAAGGAATATAGACCTCCAATTCTGTCTCATAACACAATATGATAATAAATTGATACATGTACACCACAGGGTATCTTCAGAAATAAAAACATAGAGAAAAGAAGAGATAAAACAGAGCCAGGGATCTGCTTGATGGGATTAGGGTTGCCACCCGTACAGGTTTCACCCGTACAACCCGGGTTTGGAATCATGTGCCCGGGTCTGTGGCCACCTCCCGCCAGGGCACATGATTCAAACAAATGCAACCACAACTTTTATATGGACATAATAGAATGTCATTTCTGAGCCTGATGAAGGGGACCCGACGCGGCCCAGAAAGTGCTTGTCTTAGGAATGACAACTACCAATCAAATGGATTTTGCAGTAACATGGGATCTTGGTGCCGGTGTGCTGGAGACATCTGTATTGTTGTTCTGTTGTGAGCAGCGCCATCCGCAGTCATTACAAGCACCCGTTACTTTTGGCATATCTGGTAAGAACTGCGGCAAGGTATATGGGTAGTGCTTTGTACACTTATCTACAGAATGCATATCTGGGGACCTGTGGCATACTGGTAAGTTGTGATTAACTCAAATGTTGTTTATTTACAAAATACATGCATAGTGTATACTTTACAAACAAATTGCCGTGAAGCGCTATAGTGTTCGGGTTTGGCCTGAAGAAAAGGTGGCAACCCAAGATGGGATATAAGTAGGGATGAGCGAATCTGCCTGGATTTGAATTGCAAACAGTTACACAAAACTTGCTTGAAGTTGATGAACTTTGCGGTGAACCCACTGAAGTCTTGTAAACAAGTAGCAAACCTGAACTTCATCCCCAGTTATAAGCGATACAGGGAAGTATATGGTTATGTAATGATGAATGGAGAAATGTCTTATTTTGAGAAAATTCTGCCAATACTATTTAACTCACTTGAGTAATGGAACAAGAAATATATGTGAAAGATTCCCCAAATATGCTTTCTTAGCTCAGCTCCAGGGCTCTATTCCCTCATCTTCAAAGGGTTTTCTCTTGGTGACTGCAGCTAGAAAAGTGATCAATAGACTGCAGAGAGCAACAACAGCTCTTTCAATGGGAAAAAAGAATATCCCCTTTAACAGATTGAAACATAGTTTAGCTTATTTGCATTTAGAGAACCATTTAAAATATATATATATATATATACACCTACAGCAGTTCTCACACAAGTTGGGAAATATCCAGCAGAGATGTGAATGACATCTGTATCACCTGGCTAGAATTCTGTAATTTTTGGGGGTAAAACAAGCAATTTCTAAATTGGATTTCTTTCAATCATTTGGAGGAAAAGTTTAGTTTAAAGCTGCTTTCTGAAATCTGACCAAGACTCTTCTTGGGTATCTTCATCCAAGAGACCACAGAGAAGCCAAACTGCATGTTCTGGGCATTCAGTTCAGAAAAAAATGCTGTGAGGGATCAATTACTTATTGTGCCAATAGAAAATGATTTGTAAATGTGCCAATACCGACTGACTTAAAATATTTTTAGCAAAACCATCCCTTGCTGAAATCTTCATATGTTTCTAGTCTCCTCAGTTACTTTCCTCTCGCATTCAGCATAACGCTTCAGAAGAGGCTGGTAAATCTGGAGAAAACATGGCACAGATAACAAGTTAGCTTTTTTAACAGCACAAACAGCAACACAATTTTATATATAAGAAAAGTGCTTTCATATATTTTTTTCTTCAGGATTAGAAAATAAAATTTACATTTTTTGTCAGACAAATATGAACTATTGCACAATAATGCTGTAAATGTACTAGCTGGAGCTCTAGACTACTTATCATGTGCTTACCAGGCTGTTCTTAACTTACTGTATGACAGTCTAAACAAGTACCAAAACCCAGTATGCATGTGATGCATAAGCCTCATAAGAAAATTCCTCCCCTGATTGAGCCAAATCCTCCTTCATTTGTGTCTCACATGTTCCCCCTCCCTGACACTGCAGCTCACAGTGGGAGGTTTTAAGCAACAGAAACTGAGCTGTCAATCCATAAAGCTGTGAGCAGGACTAGGTGTGGCCAGGTGATGAATGACAAGCTACAGGCCAGTGAATCAGCAGTGGCAATGCTGACAGCCATGCCTCCTACAACATTTTTTTTATTTCACGTAGTACAAGCAGACACATTGTACATAAAAATGGCAACTCTGCTCTGAATTAAGGAGCAGTGCGGCATCATTGCCACCCCATCACAGGAAGCTCAATACAAATAATTAAATGAATCATGAGGTTGTAGTCCATCACGGGAGTGAGCTTAGGGCGGTGGCTACTTTACAACACACACAGGGACCATAGGGAACAAAAGTAGCCACCCTTCAGAACGAAAGACAGTGTCTGCACAAGTTCAGAGATGATTTGAGGATCTACAGCCGAGTAATATACAAAAAATATGCATTTTTCTTAATAGTTAAGGTACTTGAATGTATTTTTAAGATTTAGCTCCTGAGTTTAGTGTCCCTTTAAAGTACATTGACTCATATCCACCATGAGGATTTTGGTGTAAGAAGAAGCGTTACTGGTTGTTCTGACCCACGCCTTGTACTTTGCTCTTTGCCCAAAACTGAAAGTGAGGGAAAATCCAACATTTTGAGGATATCTGCTCTCACATCCTGTTGTGTGTACTAAACAGGAGGTGAAGGGAAATGTCCCTGATGGGACAAAGGCAGTGATTATCCGGACTTTCTCTACTCTATCTAAAACTAAATATAAAAATGTTGGTTTTAGATAAATGCAGATGGTACAATTTTTTTTTTTTTTTTTGCTTAGTTTACCTTTGAATGAAAAGTAATAATTTAAGTGTAATATAAGCTAGAAATGCAGAGCTAGTGATTAAACTTCAGACGTGGACGGGATTACAAATGTATCCCCAAGTAAAAGTGTCACACGTGCAACTCCTCCTTGCTATGATTCATTTTATTACTGTGAATCTGTTCTTCTTATCTCACGCATCACCTTGATGTATCCCAGCAGGTGCTTATCAATTCTCACCCCATCCTGAGACCAATGACTTCCAGTAGACTGAAAAGCCTGCCCCCGATCCCTCAGGAATGGTAATTACAGGATAGAATACGCACACAGATATAAACCCTCTTTGTGTTTGTTGGCAGTCCACAAATAAATGTGAGTTTATTATTTCTCTTGCTTTAAAAATCATACAGGTAATATTGTCTTAGAGTTCACCATCTGGGTAAGATGGATGTGAGTGCTACATTTCCTAAATAACAAGCATACACGTGGTATACACGAGCCGTAACATTTTAGAATGTGTTAAACACTGTAATGATAATGACTAATGATGTTATGGATAATTTTGACAAGCGTGCCTCATCATAGTGTTAACAGAGAACCACATGTTCTGCGGACTGTAAAATAAGCCATGAAGCTGGCATATGTACACCTAGAAATATGGCTTAAATCAGCATCATTACCATGCTGTGGATGGCGTTGAAAGGCTGGTGAATGTGTAGTTGGCAATAAAGGGTTACAGGCAGTGTTGTCATATTGGGGATGACACTGCATACCTGTTACAAGACCAACAGACCACAATAAATTGCAGGTGGGTTTATTTAAATTCTGAGAGATCATCAGAAAAGGACGTCTGGATATTTTTTAGAGAAACAAAGAGGAGAGGACAGGGTAGCAGAGGTATGATAGGGAATAGGTAGACACTGGAGTGTCTGGGGTCAGTCTGACGTAGAGACATCAATGATGGCTTTCCACTGAGCCCCCTGCATAATGTGACTACCAGACATTACAGCACTGTACCCTGAGGACACATGCACAGAAGTACACCTGAAACCGTCAAAGAGAGAAACAGATTGAGCTGCTCATCGCTGGGAATGCAGAATAATCCTCGTGTTGGCTAAACTGGAAACAAGATGTGGTTATACCTTGTTTGTGCAGGCTTAGTAGAGGAAATGTTAGTCACATTCATCATTCTCTTTTCACAGTTTACATTGATGTCACTTAATTTTATTGTCCAGTGTGCACTAAATAAAATACTTCAAAAACCAATTTGTTCTGTTCAAAACAGAATGTCACCTTCTCTGCATCAGGTCTTGGAGTAACAACTAACTTGCGCTGAGCTGGTGGGAACACATCTGCAAAGGAAGTGGGTGATGACTTCAGAGCAAGACCTGGATTAAAAGGAAACGACACAGTTAGCAGGCCCACTGGCACCCAAGTTAAAGACACCAAGGTTAGCCCCATTAGGGTTAAGTAAGGGTTAAATAAGGGGCCAAATGTTGTATTATAAAATTAAACTTTTTTTGTTTTTTTACACATAAAAGTAACATATAAATTAAATCTACAAACTGACAGCTCAGTCCTGCAGATTACACTGAGACAGCACAGCTCTCCATTATTAAGCATCAAGGCTTAGTGACATGAGTTCGCTGTGCTTTGTTTATCAGGAGCACACAAAGGACCTGATAAAGAAAGGATGGCTTCCACTGACAGTGGAGCTGTTGGTATATTGCTGTGATAATTTCTTAGCAGGGGGCAGGGGTTGTAGAAAATTGGAAATCCCAAGTCTTCTAGTATTGGCCAAAACTTAAAAAAATAAGACACTGAAAGACGTAGTGGGAAAATAAATCAAACTCACTGTAGGAGAACAGCTAGTATCTGCTTGTATCCCAAGCTGGCAATTAATGTCAACCTGTCTTCATTGTATGGTATGGTATGGTAAGTACTGGCATGGATCGCATCAAGGATAAAGCTGAGGATGATGGTAAGAGCTGTGTTTTGTCACAGTAGCTCTGCAATTTTTTGAACCCTTTCACTGCCAGAGCTGTTTTTGCATTGTTTGCAACTTTGCACGCATGGTAAAATGCACATTTTAGGCCTGAAGATTAAATAAGGCACCCACCTTCCCCTAAATTATATATTTTCTAAAAGTGAAGGCCTGCAGAATAAATTGGTGGCAGATGCAATTTTTTGTGTTACACAATATCAGCTCAACTGTTTATCATGCCCAAATTTTCAGGAAAACACCTATGGCGCCCAAAATTGTCCATAGGCGAAGCTTTAAAATGTATTACAGGTCATCAGTTAAGAGTTACAAATGAATAATGGCCCTAGAATAGCTATTACCATATTTGGGTAATGACTTCAGCCAGCATCCCTGCCCCTTTGGTTACATTCAGCTGTCAGACATGACATCTCCCGGCCGGCAGCTGAATATGGCTGAGGATAAGTTACTGGTTGCTACGATGCTGTCAGCTGCACAGCTGACAGCCTTCTTGCAATTAATTAAATGGCTAAATGGCAGTGGGTAGAGCTTGATGGGGAACTCTGAGGGACTAGTTCCCCATTAAGTCCGTTTCCCTTGTGACAGACAGCAGATGACAGTGGGAGGATTCCATAATTCCCCATCAGGCTCCACCTACAGGAAAACTACTTGGCCGCTGCACCTGTCTGTGTGACAGGTACAGTGTCTATGTTGGAAGCTTAGTAACACTGAGCTTGTGATTTTTTTCATTTTTCAGGCTCAGCATTACTGAGCTGTACCTGTTTTCGACAGGTACATGCATCTGTCACTTATTGCAACATTTGTTGGACAGCCAATTGAATTCATATGAGTGTCTAGGATACTCTTTATGAATTCCAGGAATTGCTTTGTGACAAACATTTTGATGTCCTGTGTCCCAGCTAATCCCCCAAATGTCTCAATCAACAGTTTAAAACTTCTGAATGGGCTAAACATCTTATATTCATTTGCTACTCCTGCATGAGCTGCATAAAACTAATTTGTGGTTGAAGCTGTACAGTGCAATTTAACAGTATCAACACTTTACCCTAGATTACAAAATTAATATTTATCCAGACATATGTCACTGCTTCTTATCTCCTTGTTATTGTGCTTCTGCTGACAAATGATGATTCTATGACCATATTGACCTGTTCTGCTGTTGATGGTCGAGAATAATACCAGGAATTGGAATAATTAAAGAATCTGTTGCGAGAAGGACACCATTAATGAGAGAAAAGCAAGCAAGGTTACTAAGAAATTAGGCTGCTGTTTATGAACAACAATAACTTGGCTTTCTTCACTCAATTTCTCACCACTGCTTCTGGAAAGCAGTCTGGTTTTATAATTGTATAAGAGTGTTCCTGTCCACAAATAACTATTTATTTCTTGAAAGCACAACCCCCAACTGTTTGTTTTAAATTAATGACAATATTTTAGCAATCCTGTTACAATATTTACCCTAACATGCAATATCTACCCAGCCTCCACTCCACCTAAAATGGAAAATTATTTTGGGTTAAAGTTCCTTTTTTATTACCATTGTTTCAAAATACGTAGAGCAGTGCACATAATACAATGGAACATGCCTGGCCTGCAGGATCTTTTTAATATAATGGTTTTCTTCCAAGGTTCACTGGTGAGGCTATTCATTCCCACAAACTGCAAGTATGCTGTACTGTTGTGCCAAAGCTTTCATGTTGCCCCTTAATCACTTTTCCTGCAGGAATAGCTTAAAGTGTATTTGTAATGGAATAGAGAAGAGTTAGATTGACTGTCAGGTTTTTATTGCAGTCTCTGGTCCCTTTTGGTAGAGTCCCCTTACTTCCTGTCCCAGTGACAGTGGTCTCCAAGATAAGCCATGAAAGAAAATGTCTGCAATGGGGAGAGGTAAGATAGCAGAGGTTCTGGTTCCAAAACTTAAACAACTTGATTTTAAACTTTAGTTACTTTAAAGTTACATAGTATTTGAGGTTGAATAAAGACACAAGTCCATCAAGTCCAACCTATTTTCATCTCATTCTTAGGAGTACTTGTACCCCTGTATATTACGGTCTCTCAGGAAATCGTCCAAAAGTTTCTTAAACAATTCCACACTTTTAGCCGGCGGCAGTGAGTTTCAGAACCTAACCGCTCTTACTGTGAAGAACCCCCTTTGCCCCTTGTGCTGGAATTTTTTTTCCACTAATTTTAGGTGGTGGCCTCTAGTTTTTGTAATGGGGTTAATCTTGCACTTCCAAGGGCCCATCCTCCGCCATGGATGTAAATGATAGCACGTTTTAATGTCCCACCAGGTTCTGTATCAGGGTCAAAGATTCTGACCTCCACGCCATCAAACACGGTATCCGTGACTTTTAAATGTGCAGACGATACAGGATCCAGTTGATAAAAGTAGTTGGAAACGAAATTTAAGACGTGCAAATGGTGGCTAAGACCAACATAATGTGCCAAGTTGCTCAGATGCTGGGCACATCGGAAGGTGGCATCCATCATCATGAGTTTCCAGGGCTTGGACAAGGTGCTGGGCAGCGGGCTGTACACATAGTAGGCGGTGAATGTTGTCAGTGCTGTCAGTAGGGCAGACAATGCTCTCATGTTGATGGCTGCCTCTCCACAGATCGGTGGATACAAACTCTGCACAGCTCAAGTTTCTTTGTCAGCTATGGGGTTAATCTTAAAGAGTTTGTTGCTAATGTTGCTGTCATCATTGAACATCTTGTACATGAAAATCATATCCCCCCTTAATCTCCTTCCTTCCAACGTGAACATGTTTAAATTTAGTAGCCTTGTGTCATAGCTCTGGTCCTCCATTCCCCTAATTAGCTTGGTTGCCCTCCGTTAGACTCTCTCCAGCTCAAGGACATCTTTTCTGAGTACTGGTGACCAAAACTGACCGCGTACTCCAGGTGAGGCCAAACCAGCGATCTTTAAGTGGTAAAATTATAGACTTGTCTCTACAATACATCCCCTTCTTAATACAGGACAAGGCTCTACTTGCTTTGTTTACAGCAGCCTGGCACTGCAAGCTACCATTCAGTTTGTGGTCTACCATGACCCCCAAATCTTTTTCTATTTCTGACTTACCAAGTGGGACACCCATAATTGTATAACCCATTTGTTTATTTTTATTCCCAAAGTGCATTACTTTGCATTTATCGACATTAAACCTCATCTGCCATATACTTGCCCATTCCCCTATTTTATCCAGGTCCTCCTGTAGTGTTATACTGTCTTGGTCCATTTCTAGGACCCTCCCTATATTTGTATCGTCTCCAAACACTGATACATGACTATTTACACTCTCCCCAATGTCGTTAATAAATAGGTTGAACAATATGGGACCCAGCACAGAGCCCTGAGGCACAACGCTCATGACACTAGCCCAGTCTGAAAAGGTGCCATTTATGGATACTCTCTGTACGCATTCCCGTAGCCAGTTCTCTATCCACGTACACACCACCTCATCTATGCCCATAGCCCTCAGCTTGTGAAGTAAGCGCTTGTGTGGTACCGTATCAAAAGCCTTTGAGAAATCCAGATATACCACATCCACCGGCCTCCCTCCATCTAGATCTCTACTTACCCCCTCATAAAAAGTTAGCAAGTTAGTCTGGCAGGAACGGTCTTTCCTGAACCCATGCTGTTTGTCGTTAACTATGCCATTATCCTGAACAAATTCTACCAAATAGTCCTTAATCATGCCCTCTAGCAGTTTACAAACTACCGATGTAAGACTAACTGGTCTGTAGTTCCCAGGTTGGCATCTTGCCCCCTTTTTGAATATTGGAACTACCGTAGCCCTCCGCCAATCACTTTGGACTCTACTAGTTATTAAGGAGTTATTCCTCATTAAAAATGAGGAATAACGATCTTGTTATAACCTCGCTTAGTTCCTTAAGTACCTTGGGGTGTAGATTATCTGGTCCCAATGCTTTATTTGCATTAAGTAGTTTAAGTCTTTGTTGTATCCCGGTTTCCGTCCACCACATAGGTATATTTTGTGTTGAACTATATGTTTTATCATGGACACCGAACCCGTTTCCCTCCTGAGTGTATACTGAGGAGAAAAAAGTGTTCAGCACCTCAGCCCTCTCCTTGTCATTTGTGACTAACTTCCCGTTTTCGTTCTTTATTGGGCCTATCTGTTCCTTTCTCACCTTTTTACTATTAATATATTGGTAGAATTTTTTTATTTATTTTTTTACTAACTGTGGCAATATGTTTTTCGCACTCTATTTTAGCTGCCCGGATTACTAGTTTGCATCTTTTATTACATTCCTTGTAGTTAAGGAACGCCAATGCCGTCCCCTCCATCTTTTATTTTATAAATGCCACTCTCTTGGCCTTCATGTGTTGTTTTACAGTTTTATTTAGCCATATAGGTTTAGT